GGGGAGAGAGAGAGAGAGAGTGAGAGAGAAGGAGAGAGAGAGAGGGAGAGAGAGAGAGAAAAGTGCTCGGTGGAGCCGCGATACGTGGTTTATCTGCGCGCGATGCCGAGATTCGCAAGTGTCTGCCCGAGCCTTCGTCCAACTTGAGAAGATGCAGACGCGGCGATAATCGCGAATTCAATCGAGTCCGATTCGCGTAATATGTCGAGCCAGGGCCCGCCTCGCGAGAAGAAGACGTGCACGGAGCAGCCTCGCGAAGCACGCAGCATCGATTGCAAGATCTCGCCTCACGGTGCCCCTCGTGATTTCGGGAGGAGATCCGCGACAATAGAGATTCGCTCGTCGATCGAGGATCCTCGATTAAGCCGCGCCTAATTATATCCTAATTCTTTTGTATCGCGGAGCTCGTGCCGTTCGATGAAATCCCCCATCGGTCTACAACACGACGAAGTTGCCTGACGACCGTACATCGAATTTCGAGACGCAAACGAATTAGCAAACGGCCTCGCTCAATGCTTCCTAGCGAAAGACGGAGTCGCGATCGAGCCCACGTGATCCCCTGCCTTGGTACCCTGCCGGACGAGTCGTCCACGAAGAAGCCGATGATCGATGCGTGTCTGCTCGACAGTTGATCCCGGAGGATCAAGGACCCCCTCCTCCCCCCATGAACCGCAGTCTAACGAACGGAGCGATGATCGGCCTGTAGATCGGCGCGCTCGATGAATCGTCGGAGAATCGAGCATCGAGCAGCAGCCAGCAGCAGCAGCCGAAGAAGAGGAGGAAGCCGTAGAAGGCGCCTGGCCGCGTAGCGTCGTCCCGATCTCGAGATAGCCGTCCCGGGTGATGCGCGGAAGCAGCTCCGAACTCCTGCTGGAGGCGAGCTGCAGCCAGTGCCAGAGCGAACTCGATCGTGGACAGGGTCGGGACAGCGGCGGCGAGCACGACTTCCACGAGCGGGAGCTACGTCGTCGCAAGCTGTTGGAGCTGGGGTTCGGCGCGTCGCGGCGCCGACCGCCACGGCGTACCTGCCGTCAGCGGTTTAACTTCTACGCGACATCGGCGCTGGCCTTCGTCGCCACCTCGGGCGGCGCGGCGCTCCTCTTCCTGGTGCCGCTCTACGTCGACCCGGCCATCAGCACCTTAGCGGCGGACTTCTCGCCGGAGCCGGTCGTCTGCACGACCTCGCGGCGCGAGGACCTCGCCGGCCTATTCAACTGCACGTGGAGCTCGTGCCGCGAGGGATGCACCAGTGACGTCTACAGCTGCACGCACATATACGTCACGTACACGCCGTGGAGCAACGCCAGCATGAAGAACGACACCGGCGGCAGGAACACCACCGCGAACACCACGGTTGACCTGGGCACCGTCACTGCCGGTAGGATCACTGAGTCGCGGTCTCCCCTAGCGTTCTTCGCCTCTCTCGTAGCTTCCGTAAACGGCTCGTGCAATTAAAAACAATGGTCGACGATCAAGTAAATTGGAGCTAACTGAAGCGACGCCCCGTAGAGAAATAGGCGGGAGAGTTTAAAGGGTCGAGTGTAGGAAACCCGAAATACCGTGGTATATGCTTTATTAAAACGCGAGATATAGACCGTACGATTTGCGCCCGCTAAACTGGATTTGCAAAATTCGAGACGTAAAGGGGCGAAATCGGTAAAATTCGAAAACGCAATGGGCTTTCTCCGTCGCTATTTGACTATAAAATAGAATGTATCGCCTGGGAAATCGAGGAGAGATTGGAATATACATTCCGATTTCGGTAGATCAACATTGCGGATTGCATGCGTGCTCGGCAGGCGTAAAAATTCAAACTCCCCCTGCCCCCTCCCGCCACCTTTCCCCCAGTCCCCCCCCCCCCGTCGTCCCTCCCCAATGTTAATCTCCGCTGTAAAACGTCTCTTTGTCGAGCAGTGTCCTCCCCGGGGGACGTCGAGGCGGTGCTGCTGGTGAACATCAAGGGCTGCGGATACCCGCCGGTGGTCGACTGCAAGAACTTCACCCGCGAGTTGGGTTACGAGGGCGCGAAGTTCCCCTGCCACTACAGCCGGGTGAACGGTAGCATAGTGATGGCAAACTATAATCGCGAGGCACAGGTCGCCACCATCATGCACTTCTTCGCGGCGCCTTTCGTAGTGACTCTCGCGACCAGCGTCGCGCTGTGTGTGATGCACTGTGACTGCAGGTGCACGCCGCCACCGCGACACCCGCCGCGCGGCATGAGAAGATCCCGGGGCAACGACCTCAGGTAATTAGTTTCGCCAAAGTACAAAGAACCAGAAACACACACACATACACACATACACACACACACACATTCGTATACCTGGACGGTTTTCTTTCGACGGACGTACGGATTGTCATTAGCTTGGTAACCATATGTCCACGATACTCACGTTCTGTGCGGAATGAGTTAAAGTTTTGCCTTTGTTAGTTGAATGTAACGTATCTAGAATAGAGTAGAGTAGAGAGTAGAGTTGTGACACACACACGCGCGCGCGCGCGCGGGGGGGACAAAAGTGCTTTGTTAGCGTAAAGAATTGTTGAAACCGCGCCGACAAACGCGGTCGAAGGTCCGCGCGCTGTCAATCGAGTTAAATAATACGATACTCCGCGATAACGACAAGTCACACACGAAAGCTGGTGTTAATTGGTGTTAATATAGCAATTATTGTAATATTACAGCTGCTGCATGAGTATAAAAAATCGATAACGGGTTAGAAGTCGTGCCAGAAGTCGTCCGATTTAGAAGGTGTATTTGACGGGGCAAATAAACTTTCTAAACCATAAGACGAAAGACAAAGACGACTTAACACATGATGTTACTACCACCGTACTTACCGTCGTCGTGAAACGATGCTAAACTCTTTCGGCTGCAAATACTGCCTTAGAAGGTATCTGAAAGATCATTTTTTTCAAGGATTGATTGGTGTAATCTTATCGATCTTCGTGTTCCGTTGTGCATAAATATTTATTTACATGATCGTGCTGTGTCAAACAATCTTCTCGGCGTAACAATCCCTTTCTTTATTCTATTTTTATATTCAGAAATCGGCAAATAACTAATATTTTCATTGACGTTTAACGTAACACTAAGAATCTTATATTGTCGAGGACTTTACGTAATTTTCACTACCGACTGCTTTGGCCAGGATCAATGCAAACAATTTTCAAAATCAAATTCTAACTAGTGCAGAACAGTCCTTTCTCTTTTGTTTTAACGAAAATGAATTAAACTCGATTGCCGTGGTCCTGGAGCGCGAGAGCAAAATAAAAATAGAATACTATCGATGGCTACTTTTTCATGCAGCAATAAGAAGAATCATGTACCGAGTGAATCTTTAAAACCGCTTTTGACGCTTCTTCGCTTTCGCAGTGTCATCGTTTAAATTAGATATTTATATTGACTTACGTTGCTGAGACTTTTTCCGAGGAAAAGCTTGTTACTGCTGCATGCAATTTGTAATATTCGCTGCAAAGTGATGCGGACCAGCGTTTCTACAGACTCGCTATAATTTACATGCAAAACGCTTTGCCGCAAATGCTAGTGCTTTTGGATACACGACGGAACACGGAGCCGCTGCCCTAGGAATAGAAATACACATTTATCATATTATTACAGAAAAGAGCGAATCGCAGAAACGGAAATCGGATATCGATTCATCATCTATCTCTCGTAATCTCCGCTAATTAGCTCCAAAAGGTGCATTCATCTCATTAATGAAACGAGTGCGCTGCCGAAAGCCGTGACTGCGCTCTCCGTGCAACGCAATGAACATGTAAAAAGAGATCTCTAATTATCGATCGGATGCCGTAAGTAATTCCGTGCACTCGGAGTAATCGACAGCTCTCTCTCTCTTTCTCTCTCTCACTCTCTCTCTCTCTCTCTCTCTCTCTCTCTTTCTCTCTCTCTCACTCTCTCACCAACGTCGATATGTTGCGTGAACAAGCATAGAGCAGCGCGTAACTCGCGTACCTTAACTCGCGTAATCTATCATTCTTCCGAGAATGTCTCTTTCCTCTCCCCTGAATTTTTCTTCTTAATTGAGTCGTTGAGCGAAACGAGTCATATATATCGCGTAAGTCACATTTTTCTCATTAAGGTAAGAGGTTTTATGAAAGTGCCTCGTATAAAATCCTGTTAATGTATTATAGCAATTTTTCTAAATCAACAGGACTGCCTAAAGTACTTAAACAGAAAGCGAGAGAGAGAGAATATCCCCGCGAAACCACGTAAAATAAAACTACGAGAAGCTTGGCAGTCACGCCAGAGTTTTAACAACTGTCGTACTCTCCTCGAAATATGTGACTCACAAATTGGACGGACCTGCCGTGTCTGCCGATCACTGTTTCGCTCGACCGCTGAATTTCCGTTCTACCGCATGAGATTTCCCTTGCCACGCACAGATCAACGCTGTAGAAACAAAAGGGACCAGACTGTTGAGCCAAGAAATCACGTGTCAACAAAAGCTAATGTAATAATAGCCTCGCGGGGCAGCAGGAACAAAAAGTACTATATGTATTATCATTTCTATAATATGTACTCTTATCTCTAATACCTCGCCGCACGCGCCGAAGAAACGCCGGAGGCGGACTTGTCGAGCTTCGCGCTACGGCTCTCTACGAGGGTGAGACATTAATCCACGTCCGAGCGATGGCAAATGCGAGAAGTAGATGCGCGATCGAAGTCACAAGTCACTTCTGCTGTTTTAAACATCGCGAGCCAACGTGACGCGCCTCGAGGGCTCATTCCCTCTCCGAGAGCCACCTTGTTATCTTTCTACTTTCGACCGTTTGTCATTTCCACGACGACGGTATTAGAAGACGGAGGATCGGGGGTGGCGAGGATGACAGCTGGCAAATGGCAGCCGAGGCTGTCATACATCAGATTTGGATTAACCAGCGACCCTGGCCGTGTTGTCTCTCACCCTTTCTCTCCCTTGCTCTGTCGCTCGCTCGCTCTTTCTCTCTCTCTCTCTCTCT